CCAAATGGTTTCAACTACAGCAACCTAATTAATCTCCAAGCTGCAAGTAAGTGAAGGAGCTGTCTGTTACTTGATACAAATTGATAATAGTTGGCTGTTAAGTGATACTGTTCATTAATCAGAAGTCAGTAAACAGATGTGTATGTGGTGGCAATTGATAGAGATTTGTCAGGATTTATCTTGGAAATTTGTCCTCAGTATCAGTGCTCACCCTAACTATCCACACTATTTAAAAGATGCTAAACAAGTGTGATCAAATGTAAAGATGTAAATATTACTTACAGAAATGTATGGATTGTAGTGGGATGACTACAGTTCAATAATCTGAAAACCAGGATCCAGAAATTGAGCTAATCCCAGACCCTTCAGCAATGGATGGTATACAAATAAAGTAAATACAACTTAAAAGAAAATAAATAAAGAAGTAATAAGGGTAGATTTTTGCATGCATTTATAGGATGCAATCAATTGTGAGACAAGGAAGGGCAACTGCAAGTAGATTCATGTCACACAAACAATTCCAGGTTTAAATTTTATTTTCTTCCTCTTCCTTTTATCTTCCCTTACTTGACTACACCCACAACTTTTAAGGACTCTAAGGTCCACCAGCTTCTCATTCCTATATATGTATTCCTAACCACAGATGACAGAGAGTTGTGGGGGCAGCAGATGCAGCCATGGAAAAGGAAATTGGACATTTATTATTACTGTTATTACCTACCTTTATTTTGTACCACTCAAGGTGGCATACATAATGCTCCTACCTATTTTCCTCACAACAAACCTGTGAGGTGCTAGACTAGAAAGTCTCTTGAGTGCCTGGTCCAAAATCACCAGCTGGCTTCCACATCTAAGAGAGGACTAGAATTCAGAGTCTCCTGGTTTCTAGGCCAACACCTTAACCAGTACACCTGACTGGCTCTTTTCTTTTACTTTTGGGGAGGGGTAGGAATGCTGCTTTCTTCATGAAGATAATGCAAGATATAACAAAAGATTAAACTTCTACTACAAGTATGGTAGAAATGATAGCACTCTGATGTGCTTTCAAAAACCACTTAGTCAACATCAGGGTAAAAATAAGTACCAAAAACACAGAATGATTGAACTGGCTTTTTGGTTTCTATCTGAACCTCTTGGGAGTTTAGAATTAGATGGTATAGATTTGGATGGCTAGAAGGTAAAAATTAAGTAACAGACCCCTAAGTCATATTGAGTCAGACAGGTTAAAGCAGGGGAAGGGAGTCAAGATATGGATAAACTGATGTGAACATCAATCTCTCCATAGCAAAGCTATCCTAAGATTTAGAAATAAAGAACCCCTAACCAAAAGTAAGCAAATCGGTTAAACAAAAGGTGGCTTTGTTTGTACAGCTTGCTTAACCCTGATTACATTAACCATAGTTTATTAAATTAACCAAATGTTTATGGGTTTGCAAACAGGCTGAACCATAAAGTAATCATTGACAGTTTAGTAAAACATGTCTGGTGTGAATCCAGCTAGAATCATAAGAAGTAGCAACTACTTTTCCCCAAATAGGTCTCTGAGTAAGCTAGAGCCTTAACTGTTTTGAAACATTTTAGGTTCCTCTAGGTAACACTCCAATCCTATATTTAAGGAACTGTATTGTCCCCTACTTGATGGTTCAAAAACTTAACATGGTCCAGTAAGCTGAAGCTATTACTAGCTCTGTCCATTCTTAATCAAACTGTAACCTCCCTATTACCATGCACCATGTAATCCCTATGGAAGGCCTTTATCCAAACCATCTTGGATTTAGCAAATTCTATGCAACACTACTTGTTCTTATGTCTAAACTTTTGAGTTTTCTCCAAATCGTGTACTTCAGAAGCAGAGCCATAGAGCTGATTATCTCCATTAGAACATCTTAGAAATGCTACCATTTTGCCAACAAATGTGGCTCAGGCTATCTAACACAGGATTTAGAAGAGAGCTGTAAATAACTATAAGAGATGGTAATTACCTTTGGAAAAGCAGTGAAGCCATAATTACTGGAGAAAAGGTCCTGGAGAGGAATAGCTAGGAATGGAAGAACTTGAGGATGTCTGATATGGAGCACAACTGCTGTATTTCTGAATAACAACATTTTCTGCTAGAAAAATACAAGAAAGCCTGCAACGTCTTAAAAAAATACCCTGTCAGCCTCCAGCTATCTTCCAGCCTGGTATCCTCCAGATACTTTGGAGTTTAACTTATAGAATTCCCAGTCATATCACTTAACAATTTTGGGGGGACCAACACATCTCAGGGGAGCCATACTGGGGAAAAGACATTCAGGGAAAAAAAATTATATATATATAATTCTCACCCCTATGGGTGGTACGTGTCTATATATATGAAAATAAAAAAGGAGATTATGAAAATCAAGTAGGAAAAAAGGGTGTGCTTTAGTCAAAATAGGAGACTGGAAAGGTATAAGAAAACTGGTTAAGACATGACAAACCACAGGACTGGACAGATTGGGAGGCCAAGAAGATTTAGGAAACTCAGACGGGTTTAGTCAGGTCAGTTCTGCAGAGAAGCTTTTAGACTATACGTAAGTTAAAGCAAACAACCAGAAATAATAGGTTCCCTCAGCGAATTCCCCATTTTTCTATGAGAATCCAATGCCAATATTTTCCTGTGGTTTGAAGTGGGGGACACTGATGGTCTGGTGTGAAAAGCAGTAGCGCTAGTCTCATTGATCTGATAATTCTTAACAAGTTTAGCTTAGAATCCTGCCACATTCACAGTTCCATTTCTAGGCTGTAGAAATCCAGAGGATCACTAGATAGCAGCAAAACTATTCACAAAGCACTAGCCCTTTGCTGCCATCTAGTGGTTCTCCAGATGTATGCAGTTCAGATATGATAGGTGGGGTTTTTTTTTTTGAAAGACAGTAATTTTTATTGAATTTTTCAACTGACACAATAAATAAATAAATAAATAAATAAATACAAGTAATAACAATTAAAAATAAATTTCATTCCTAATAATTATTAAGTTAGTTACATACCTAAACAAAACTAGATATATAGTTTAGGTATGGTACTGCTATTCATTCACTACCAATTCTAATGACGAAATCCGTCACACCTCTCTGCCCTAAACATGTAATGGGTAGGACTAATGATTGCAAGCGCCATACATGAGGAAAAAAAAGCTAGGGAGTGGTAGGGATTTTCCCAAGGAATCAAGGGAGGCGCTGGCAAAGCAGGGATAGAATTCTAACTTCCAACCTTCGCGCTCTGTTTCTAAGAGGGGGAGAGGGAAAGAAGGAATACGGGATTCTAGAATGTCTAACAAAGCAGCAGCAAAAATAATTCTGGGTTCTGTCTTCCCATGTAGAAGACCAGAGGGAATGTACAGCAATACTAACCCACCATTCTCTTGCCATGTGCCTGCAAATATATATTTTCTGAAAAGAATGAGTTGGTACTCAGGAAGTGGTTGAGAGTGAGAGGAAATGTTTCATGTCAGAGGCAGAGGCTGTTTCCCCAGGACTGCCAACCTCCTCCTACTCTATATGAGAACAAAATAGGAGTTCTGATAAATCAGGTCACCAATCCCCACACTGGCCAACTAGGTGCCTTTCAAAAGTTCACAAGGATAGGAAGACAGACGTTTCTATCCACTGTCATTCTTCAGCCATTAGTACTTCATATCTGCGGCTTATGAATTAGGAGGTAGTATATACATTCGTCGAGACCAACAGCCAGTGCTTTTACCATAAGATACTAGAGATTCTAAACATTCTTAAACTTGGGGAATATCCCTTATTTTTACTTTAACGTTCTTCCACTCTGCAACATTTGGTCCCAAAGCAGTGGTGCCTGCAGGGCTGTCAACAACTTCAAAATAGCAGGTGCGATCAAAGCCTCGCCCTCTTTTAATATGCACTGCATTCATGTAAAAAGGGGCAGGCTTTCAATTGCCCGGTTGTATCTGTCATGCTGATATCACTGATAGCCCCTGTGGGTACCTGTCATGGACTGGTTTCATACAATGCAGTAAGCCATACTTTCCTTAGCTATGGGTTAACTAAGCCACCACTGGCTGAATGCACACAATATGCTGGTCCATAAACAATGATTAACAAACCACAATAGCTGGATCATCTAGCCCAATCAACCTCACAGGGAAAAATCAGGAGGAGGGAGTGCTATGGATGCTGCTTGAGTTCCTGAATGAAAGACAAGATATAAACCTAATAAACAATAAAGGCATTAACAAATATTAGAGCAATGTGTGACCCCACAGAATTTGTGGCTTAATCAACAGATGGTAATTTTTAAAAAGTGGCTTTGCATGATGCAGTTTTCCAGATTGGTAGAGAGTATCCTATAGAGTATCTTTTAAAAAAAACACAACCCTAATAATAGATCTAAACCTATTCCTCCCCATCTTGTTCTCTCTCCCTTAAATACAACTAAGTTATATCCAGGAACTAATCTGAGAGTTAGAATTGGCTGGGGCTCTCTGGGGCATTGTACAGTGAGCACCTTTTCCCACTTTGTACTACTGACATTGCCCTCATCACCTCTTTAAGGGGATAAGCTAAGAATATGGCTAGTGATCACGTAATTAAATTATATGTGCATGTTCAATTATTACTACTTTCCAGTCTGTACAAAACTAAGAATTCTAGTTTATGCATCTTCTTCGTCAATTAGCCTTCTACATTTAGGTTGGTATGTGTGATAAATCCCTTGCTTTTAAGGGATAATATAAGCTTTAAGGGTATCATCAAGATTTCTCACATCTGCTGTTGTGAGATGTAGGCAGTAGCATTCAAATGGGCTTCCTGTTACATGGAGGCTTTGTTCAGAGGATTACTGACTGCTGGTTGCACACAACCTAATCGTTTAATATACGATTGGTTTTGTGTGTGCGTGTGCAAATCAGGAATATATGATTATTTGGGTAAACCAAGATTGTCCACCACAGGTAAGCATGTGTGTAAACCCAGCTGACGTTGTCTGCAGTTGTCCATCTTACCTACCATTGCCAACCGTCTTGCGCGGCACGAGGCCAGCCAACTGGAAAGAGGCTGTGGCTCCCGGGCCTGGCCTGCTCAACGCTACGGAATGAGGTTCCGGGCCCTGCAGGCATCGACCGGCCCAGCGAGTTTAACCTCATTCCCTCAGCCACGCTCACATCCTGGAGGGGAGGGAAGGGCGAGGAGCACGCAGGGCGAGTGAACTCGCTGCCCTTTTGCGGGGGCAGAAAGAGTTCCGACAGAGCAGCTCCCGGCGGGCCGCTCGAAGAACGGGAGGGATCTCCTGACGCTCCAGTCAGCAGCGAGGAAGTGCTGAGTCAGCGGCGGGGCGGGAGGGGGCATGGACCGCGATCAGACTCGCTTGATAGCCTGGGTCATCCCTTGCCGATCCCCCACCCCCTATCTTTTCCCTTCCAAGCAGCTACGGCGGGAAACGCTGCTCTTGGTTCCAGCGTCCCTCGAAAGGCGGCTCTGAGGGCTAGCGGTGCAGTCCGAGGGAGGGGGATCCAAGGGAGCGCTCCTCTCCCCCTTCCCCGCCTCCCTCCAGCAGCTGCATTGCCCTGGCTAGCTTTCGGCTGAGTCACGGGCTGAACGCGGAGCAGATTCTACAGCCCGTTCCCCCAGTCCATCGATTCCCCCGCAAACGACCCCGGCCGTCTAGCCATGGTCTGGAAAGACTCTAGCTCTATTAAGCGCGGCTTGCAGCTCCCAGCCGAAATGGCGCAATCATTCGAAACGGGATGCAGCAGCTTTGTTTTATCATGTATCTACCACCGACTGCGAGTCTCTTCGGAAGCAGCACTTAACCCCTGGAACCTGTTTCCGAATCCTTTGTGCACGTGCAGAGTGCTTTTACACCTAAAAGCCCACATAGCCTTGGGTTAAACTTGTGTGGCAGAAACGTGTAATTTCCAGGGAGGAACGTTAGGGGATGTGTGTGCATTCTCTACTCATTCCTATACATCAATCTGAATGCCTGAACTGTAAATTTAGTACTAAAGGCAAACGACATTCAGAACAGCTTGACTCATAAAAGGGGACGGCACATCAAGGAATCAATATGTTTTGTGGAGTAGCAAAGCATACTTACTTTCTGATTATGTTAAGCAGATGTGCATACAAAGGGAAATGTGGGGAGAGGTCCTACCGTATTCCAAAACCACACTGAAGTTCTTTACTTCCAATCTGAAATATTTAAATTGAATAAATCCCTTGAGGTTGTCAGCAGAGCACAGGTTGGATCTTATTCTGATTGGCTAGTCCTTACTTTTTGAACAATTTACAAAAAAAAAAAAAGTGTAAGAATGCTTTTTTATATAATTTTATTAAAGCTTTTAAACAAGAAGATAAAAACAAACACAAACCAATATAAAGAAAGAAAGAAGAAAGAAAACAAAGAAAAAGCAAAGAGTGCAAGGAAAGAAAAAAGTTAGGAAAAATAGAGAAGAAAAAAGATATAAAGTGGCTTCCGATATTCTTCACAGCAGTTATAAGTACAAATATATTTTAACC